AATGGCCATTGTGTCTGTTACAGGTTCCTGTTGATGACAGAAAGACCATTTGGTTTAATGACAGGTGGACACGAGTTGGCACATGGGTACTCCAACTTGTCTTAGGCTGCCATTGAAAGAGGCAGGGCTAACACTGGATGATTTTTGAGCTCCAGCCTGGGAAGAGCTTTTTACAGGTCCAGGTAGCCCTGAGGCAGTTAGGAATCTGGACAGTTTACATTGCTTACCTTGCTCCCACGTCTGACCTCTGTGATCTCAGAAAGTCACAGTGAGCCACCACAAGAGCCATGTGGGACAAGCTAGAGGAGCAAGCAAAGATGGCAAGCTTCATCACTGGTTACTAGACACTCTCAGCATTGCAGAGGGTCAGAGGTAGAGAGCGAGACTGGGTTATTGTCCAAGTGCTTCTCAGTTTGAAGCCAATTTGCCACCCTTAAAGCAGCAGTTTTTGAAGAAGCAAGCCACTGCATCACCACGCTTGCATATTGGATAGCATGGACCGTTTCGCCCCTCTGCTTTTAAAAATTCTCCCTGTCAACGGTTCTTTCTGACATAGTCAAGCTGTGTTTTGACACCCAGGGCTTTATCCCTGCCCAAGCTTGTCCCTTTGGAAACCAGTAACACCTGCCTTTTAGGATGAAGGGCATTTGGATGAAGTCTAATTTTCCTGCTTAGCCTGAGGCAGTGATAGTCCTCTGCAGCTTTGAAATGCCCTCCTCCTCAGAGTGGCAAGCACCTAAATAGCATCTATTATGGCCAGGCAGTATCCTTAGCACTTTGCGTATGTCGCTATTTTAATCTTACCCACGTGTCAAGACCAAAACAAGACCACTGAATATTATTTTAGGGTAAGATTTTGGGCTTTTCTGAAAACTGCCTCTGCAGGAAAGAGTCGGGAGGGCCCAGCCCAAAACTGATCTTTGTTCTTAACTGACCTGCCCAGGCCTGGGTGGTTTATATCCATGAAAGAGGGTGGGGTGGGCAAAGAAGACAATGGATATTCTTTAGATCAGTAAGTCTCAGAGCAAGCTGATATGTAAAGTTAAACATTGCATGGCTCTGGTATTGACTTAAACCCTTCATTTACAATTTTTGAGACCTATTTTTAGAGTACTGATAATATGTTTTTGAGAGAGGTCACCATCTTCATTATGAAGGGAGGGTCTTATTAGTTTCTTGCAATTTTTTTCTGACAGCCTGAGGAACAAGTATACCATCTACTATTGAGAAAGGTTAACTTCTTTTTCACAATAAGTTATGAGGCCTTTTGTAAGTTATTGTTAATGATCAATGACTATAAATTTTTTCATATGATTTACTCTAAAAAACTATACTGCCTTAGGTTGTAATAGTGCCTATTATATAATATAATAGTGAGGACACTTGAGTTTCAAAGTGCTTCCTGGGGCTGAGAGAAATATGGAGTGACAGCTTGTAGTCTCCATGTCAGGGTGGACACTATTGCCCTAAGGATTTAGTGCTAAGCTTGGAGTAGTGGGGTATTTCTACCAGAATCTTCCCTTTGATTTGGAAGAATGGGGAAAGAAGAGGTGACTTTTCTGCTGCTCTTGTAACCGAAGCTCAGGCCACTGAAGTAGGAATAGGAAGACATAGAAGAAGCTATTTATTTTGAGTTGGCCTCTCTGTTCATACATGTGCTCTATATTTCAAATGCCTTCCCTTCTCTGCCACTGTGTTAGGAAATCTTATAATGGAGAGTGGCTTGAGGGAAATCATTACTTCTGCTAATCCTTGTCTGCCCACATGGAAGCCTGTCTTTGCAGTCTCATAGACAATTCAATCTCACCCCATTGTAGTCTACTTTAAGCTTTCTTTTCCCTTTTGTTGCTTTTGATTCTTACCTGACCATATTTGCTTTGGCTTATGTGTCTCCAGGCAACAAGACCACATATGGATTGCAGTGCTTTATCAGGGTGTGACAGTGCACACCCATAATCGCTACACTTAGGAGGCTGAGTCAGAGGACTGCCATGAGTTTGAGGCCAGCCTGGACTATATAGCAACATTCTGTCTAAAAATTTACTTTAAAAAGTGTGTAGTGGCATGAACAATAAAGTGCTAATGAAGGTCCGTCAGCAAGTTGGGGTGCAGGTGGGGCACTAGAGAAAAGCAGCATGCTCAGTCGGGCTGTTTCCAGGAAGATATATGCTGGTTCTATCTGTGCACCCCCGGTGAAGTGGCAGAATCATCAAAATGGGGAGGTGTGCTCTCTACTTAAGGGACCATCTATCCAAGTTTGCTTTTCCTTTATAAATACACTGGGAGCTGCCTCTTCCCACTAAGCTGCTCAATTGGAGCATAACAGCTGGCTCCCTGAGTGGCTCTGTGCTGTGTGTGTGTGTGTGTGTGTGTGTGTGTGTGTGTGCGTGCGCACGCATGCAGATGCATGTATTTGCACATGGTACTTGTCTGCTCACGTACCTCAAACCAGTGGTCGCATCTCTGTGATTTTTTTCTCTATTTAAAATACATGACATTGATTGACCAGGGAGGAATTATTTATCTTATGATTTTGTGTCATCAAGGTAGAGCAAATTCCCTCCAGTTCATGTTTGGCAATTGCTGCTGAGATCTATTATTTTTCTAGTAGCCTCCATTTGTTCATTATTTCCTCTGTCCAGTCACCTGGCCTTACATGTGCCCTTTCCCTGTAGTCTGTTCACTCATTCCACTATCCACAGTTCATAAAGAGTTCCTTCAGATGCCAGGCAAAAGAAATGAAAGGGTGTCTTTCACGTGCTCTTAGGTTCCAAGGTTACCGTAAAGAGGGCACCAAGACAATCTTCAGACACAGAGCTCATCAGAGCCCAGGGAAAGGGGCCAACCATCTTCAAACTTAGAGCATTTGTCTGCCAATTTTACTTCCTGAATAGCTTATTTTAAAACGTAGACTCTGATGTCAACCCCCAGAGATTAAGATCCAGTAGTGATTGGTGCTCCCTAGGAGTTTGCACTTTAACAGCTACCATGTGATTCTCACGTAAGTTGTCTACTGACCACAACAGCACGGGGTTAGAACCTCCAAGCCTGATTTGTCCTTCCTTACAGTTCTTCCAGTTACATCCCTTTGCTTCTAAGTTCAGATTAACCCCCTTTGTTTCAGGGATCATTGAGACCGCTGAGGGGTCAGTGAGACTGTAGAGACGGAACACAGGTTTCAGAGGGTTTCACTGCTTCCTGTAGCCCAGCAGTCTTGTCTTAAGTACTGGACGATAAAAATGCACCTGCCACGTGCACATCAGCAGACACTAGACTCCAGAGAAAGTTTGACAAACCATTTCCAAAGAACCGGATTCCTTCATGCTTTGATTGACAAGATCTTTTTTGTTTGAGGTCAGGATGACTTGTATATCTGATGACAGACCCTCTAGTTACATTTTTTGCAATTATCATTAGCTTATCCTGTACAGTACCTATAGTTTGTACCCAGGCATTCCACCATTTTATCCTGGACATTGAGAAGTTAACCAAGGTCCTCCATCCTGTGGGCTCCTTGAGTAGGGTGAGCTTCCATGCATACACTGCGACTCTCAAACATGTGCCATGAAGGAGATAAGTGGGAATATGCTTCTGCTCTGCTTAGTAAAAGTAAAGCTTTGCACTGAAGTACACCTTTTTTTAGTAAAAGTAAAGCTTTAGTACTGCAGCACATCTCTTTTTCACCCTCTTGATGTACATGTCTCTTTTTGCCCAGATGACCAAAACAAAGAGGGACTCATGATGGAGTAAGAAAGGACACTTTTGCTTCTCTAATCCCACATAGCATCAGGTCATAAGTGATGGTTTATCACTGTTGACTGTGGACTGCTTGACACACACCAAGTGTGTGAGTGTGGCGGGGGAGACTGAGTGTGGTAACGCAGGCGCGACTTCAGCCTCCCTGAGCTCTTTCTGCTTTCTCGCTGCATTCTTGTTGAAAGACATGGGGAGCGTTTCATACCCACCACTCTCCTAAGGGCTGAGGAGCTGCTGCTGGCTGCCCTTCTGAAGGAATAAAGGAATATCTCAGCGGCACAGCGCCTTCTGGTAAGTGTGAGGTTGTGAGTTTCATTCCTGGTACCAAAAAAAAAAAAAAAATGAGGAAAGTAGCTGCACCCCCACCCCCACCCCTTAATATTTCCATGGTCCTGAAATATTAAGTCTGTTTTCCTCCTCAATTCATCCTTTTGGGAAACCATTTCCTTCCTAACCTGGCCTTGCACCTGAAGGGGTTATCGCCAAAATAAAGATACATTTGAGGGGATACCTGGCTTGGGTACAGGGGTTCAGGCTGTAGCCACAGAACAGTATGCCTCATGGTGCTATGCCCTGGCCTAGGAGGGCTTGATCCTGACCTGGACCCTGCCACCATGAGGTCTAAAGCTCTGAACTGGCCTGCAGGAGGCAAGTCACTACACTCCTGCATGAGGTCCCTGAGATGCCGGCATCCAGAGGCCCCCTTGGCAGGGTTCCCTCTGTCCTCGGCAGGAGTCATCACAGATATCTGAGAGGGGCCTTCGCTTGAGCTGTTATTTGTAATTGGACTCATGAGGAATCAGTTTGCTCCTAAAGTCTCCTAGTTTGTTTCTGCTTGCTTATCCTGTAGTCGTGCATGGGCAAAGGGCCAAATGAGCCTTCTTTCCAAAAGTCAGGCAACTGCCGCTGCCTGGCTTGTCAGGAGCTGCTGTCAAAATCCTGCTCATTGACACCGTTTGTAGCCTGTTCTGAAGAGACTTTGCTCCCCCCACAATGGGTGAAAATGATTCTTATGAATATTTGATAAATTGCTTTATTCTTTTATTCCTTTGCCATTAAAAAAAGAAGCCGTATCATACATCTCCCATCTGCCAAATTCTGGAAACGTGAGACTGAGTGAGAAGCAGTCCTGTCCTCCAGAAGCTCATAGCCCTGACAGGCAAACAGATAGCTATTATATGATGTCATAAGTGCTGGGGTTGCCCAGAGATGGGAAAGTCTTCACAGAGAAAGTGACATTTGTACCAGACCTTGGAGGATGAGGTCAGTAGGCAGAGAGGGGCTGATGGCTATTCCTAACAAAGAATGCAACTCCATCAAAAAATATATGGAAGTCTAAGATCTGGTTGGGCAAGTATGAGCAGTGGTGTGGAGCTCAGCACAGGAGACTGAGAGGGGCCAGAAAGCCATTTTTGAAGCACCTTGAGAGCCATTGAAACTCCTGAGGCAGCTGTGGCCTTGGGTGCCCTGCATAAGTGATCTTTGACAGCTGGTCATTAAGCTCCTGTTCATCCTGAATGCCTCTGGGCAGATTCCCTCCATTCAGACCTCCCCCTGTCCAGGAGGCCTGCCTTGGTCACCCTCCTCCCTTCTCCCCACGTGAGGTAAGTGATCTGTTGGGTGGTGCGTTGTTTAGTACCATGTTGGCTTATAATTACTTTACTTATAAATTCTCCATGCCTGATCAGAAGCTTTTGTAGGGCTGGGTTAAAATTTGTTTAGTACTTTTTGTCCAGTGTCCCGGGTAAAATAGAGAGGGTGCTCAGTGAATATCTTCAATGAACGTGTTAAAACTGAATGAATGCCCTAACACCCCCTGAAAGATGGAGCTCAGCATGTCACATCTAGGGGTTCAGAACTACTAACTACTTTAAACACTGGACTGTGATCCCATAGTACAGTTATGGACCATGGGCAATAGGAAGCCACTGGAAATCGAAGTTTCATAAAAGGAGGTCTTAATGCAGTTAAAGGTATAGCTACCCTGGAGGAGAGGCATAGTTGGATGAGAGTGACAGGCTAATGGCTCTGATTAGCCAAGCTTTCATGTTTCAACCAAGGTGTTTTGGCTAAAGTGGCTGTGGTGGCTCCTGTTCTCAAAGTGGACATTCAAGTAGGGAAAATTGTTTTCCATCATTTTTGAGTGACAGGAAAAGGCAGGAAGAAGGGATGTTCTGTTTCACATAGTGGCCAGAGGAAGATATTTCACTTCTGATGATTCTGCCCTAAAAAATGAGGACTGTTAACTGAAGCTCTCATTGGAACTGGCAGCAGGACCTGTCTATGTGGACAGAGAAGTAATGTGAGTGTTACCGGCCATGGTGATAAGACCCAGACTCTTACTGGGTCTGTGCTCTCACGGGGGCCCAGAGGTAGCATGGGACCCTGAGTCAAACTCCAGCTGACACCTCTAGCACATAGCTGGAGCTTCATGGTAAAGTGAAAGGATTGCGTCTGAGAATCCTGTTCACAGAGCCCATGTACTCTGCTGTTCATTAAGGGAAACGCTCACTCTCTCAGCCTGTTTCTTATTCTATTTAAAAAGAAAGTAAACAGTATGCCAAATGGATTTCCCTTTTGTGAATCCCAAGTATTTCACTTCCAGAAGAGAAGCTATTTGGTGAGTAGTTTGTGAAATCCCTGGATTGTTCCTTCATGATCAATGATGTCATTGGAGTCTGGAATCAGATTCACATCGTGACTGTGCTGCATCCTGAACCAGTTTTCTTCAGCCTTGGCTGCACATTGCAAGATGCGGAAGCTTTAAAACGTATTCTGGGGCCAGGGATGTAGCTCAGTGGCCCAAGCACCTGCCTGGCAAGCGCAAGGCTGTGAGTTGGATTCCTGGTACCAAAAGAAAAAAGTATTCTGAGCCTGAAGTTCTGGTGTAATTGGCCTGAGGTGCAGCCTGGGTGCTGTAACTTGAGGTTCTAATGTACATCTAAGGTTGAGAATGATTGTACTAAAGTAATTGCTTTGGAAAAGTTACCCAACTTTGTCTCTGAGTTTTTTTCTTGCTGGTAAATGTGGACTTACTTTATGAACCTCACAAACGTGGAGGATGAAGTCAGATAAGGTTTGTTTCGTAAGTGATAACCACTGTCTTCATCACATGTCGTAGACTGCTGTGTAAGGCGATCACCTTGAATTGCAGGCCACACTCTTCCCAGCCGTACCAGAGAGTGTGAGCAGCTGCAGATGGCTTCTGTGGCCTATGACTGAAGTGAGTCATCACTTCACCCTGTTACTGGGTTGGGGTGCTGGAGCCTCCTCCTGGAGGTGATTTCTAGGTTCTTTCTGTCCTGACCAAAGAATTGGTCAAGACAAGTGCAAATGGTAGCAAAGCTTTATTAAAGGTAGGAAAAGAAGCAGGCTCTGCAGAGCAGGCTTGGGCCAAGTAGGGGAAAAAAAGCACTCCCTACAGAGCGAGGGCAGCCACCGTGCAAGAGAGAACACGATGGCAAAAGCTCAGTGCGGACAGCTCTTCTGTACCACCCACTCCTCAGGCTGACACCAGGGCCAGGCTGTCCTATTGAAAACCTGGGTGAAAAGACCGTGTGCAGGGCTTTGGGGGCTGCTCTGTGCATGTGTTCTGGGGTTTTGTAATTAACAGATCACGCCTACTTCCCCAGCCAGCTTTGTCATGTCCTAATATCCTGTCTCCACCCCAGGACAGGTCATGGTTCTTCAGGCCTCACAAGGGTGTTAGCTGTCCAGCGTCAGTGCCATGCCCCTTTGTCAGCCTTTCAAGTGCTGGGCTTTAAGCCCATGGTTAACATTTTTGTTTTCTTCATTGGAGAATTATTGATGTGTGTGTGCGGGGGGGTGGTTGTTGTTTTGGTCTTTTAGCTTAAAGAAACTAAGATGCTAAAGCCAGAGGATCCATGGGAATGAAAAACCTTGCCTTACTCACTCTGCTCAGCACACGGATTCAGTCCCCTTCTCATGTTGATGGGGTTATCATGATCACCAATAGACTGTGTGTGAAAGCGAAGAATTACTAAGAGTTTCCTCTTGGCTCTTCCCTGGAGAGGCCCTGTCTCCACAACCTTCTCCAAGTCTGAGGAGTGGCTGGGTCCCCATGGTAGGGCCTCTGTCAGGGGAGGGGGCCGCAGTCACTGCTAGGCAGAGATTTTTACCTTTGAGCACCATGCCCCTTGGAACAAAAGAGCACTTTTCTGATGCCTAAGGATAAGGGAGACCCAGGTATACTCTGGATCACATATTTTTTAATCTTGAATTTTAAAAGTATAATTTTTTTTTTAAAGGAAAGAAAGGGATTAAGAGATTTTGAAAGATACCAGCAGTGAGTGAAACCAGGCGCGTTTCCTGTCAGGAGTTTCCATCTGATCTCCCCTGCTTGTTTAAGTGCTTTGATCAAACATCTTTAGTGATTAATTTTCCGCTTACAGTTGTGTGCCCTTCAGAGGTCTGTTTCCATTTCCATAAACTGATGTTTATTTTATCAGGTTAAGTTGTCTTCTCTGAGACCTGTCAGGAAGAGGAAACACATTAACCCCAGCAAGACAGCGTGGCGCTTTTCCAAAATGCTTTGATTCTTCTACACAAATGGGATTAGAACAAATAAATTTTGGGAAGCAAGCTTCTACCATTATGTAAATTTAATTTCTCTTATTTTGTCCCTTATGTTTTAGATTGCTGTATTTTATAGGAGCTGAGTCTGAGACATTTTAAAAACTCTTAGAGAACAGGCATCCATTCCATCTGCTTTATTGAGTCCATACAGTGTGCCAAGCAGGGGACAGAAGACCAGTCAGAGTCTGAGGAGGAACCCAGGTAGCTAAGAGAAGAAATAGATGAGTCATTTTTTATCTATGATAATTCTAAGAGGTGAAGGGGACAGAGGCCAGCAGAGAACACAGATGCAGCCGTGGTAAAGACGTTCATCTGGTCACCCGCACCACCAGGCCCCTCTCTGGCCCCAGCTTCCTGGGCACAGAATGTTGGGTCCCTTCCCAAGAGCTCTGCGTGTCCTTCATCACTGGCTGTTCATTGGATGCCAGCATAGCTACAGGACAGCCAGTCTCTGTAAAGCCCAGAGTCCTGGGGAGGTGGACTGTGCAATGGTGAGTAAAATAAAAGCCCGTGGGGATGTCTATAAGCACCAGTAGCAACAAACACTGAAGCCAAAACAGCCCTCCAAGCTCCAGAAGACCTTTGGGGAAGAATCAGTGATCCCCTCTCTCGTCTTGCTTGATCTTGTATGAAGTACTGGTTCCAGTCCCTCTGCCTTTGAGCTCTGCTCGGCACTACAAGCAGCACTGGCCAATTCCTTCTCTCTATTACTGCAGGACAGGGAGGGGCTGCTTGGGTTTGAAGTGAACTGTTTTGGCCTGGGGGTAGATTTTTTTTGTTTGTTTGTTTGTTTTGTCTTTGTGTCTCTCTAGGTCCCTTGAGAGGACTCAGCCCAGCACCTTGGCCTGTTTACAGAGCCTGGAACTGGAGCCCACCAAGGACTTGCTAATACTCAGTGACCAATTGATTGACAGTGGAGGAAAGTAGCTAGGCTTGTGGGGAGAAGGTCATCTTCAGCAGACTGTGCAGCTGGTCTAGAAACAGAAGGACAAAAGCTTGTCCCGTCTGTGGGCCCTGCCTGGAGCCCCAGGGGAGAGGTCAGCCCAGAGCCCACCCAGGCTTCTGACTGCTTTTTGCATCTCTGTCATCTCTCAAGACAGTGTGAGTGCTGAGAGGTTTAATCTGGGCGTTCTGCTGGGAGCAATTACGTCCCTCTGCTGAGGACATAATTGAGTTGGAAGCCACACCAGGTACCCTACACTTACGCTGAGTGCCTAAATTTCATTCCAGCCATCCACTTCTGTGTAGTCTTCTGTTAAGTCTTGGAGTCATGGGATCTCATCATTCTAAAACAGTACAGCACAAAAGTACCTCAAAAGAAAATGCATTCTGTAAGATGTAAACATGTTATTAAGCCAAAGCACCAGGTGTTTACACAGTCATGGCAGCCTTTGTGAACCAGAGCTCTGCCATTCAGGAATTTCCATTAGAATTGAAGACTGCTCTGATTATCAGGGTAGCTTGTGGTAGGAGGCTAAGAACCAGGGACACAGGGCCTGGGTTAAGTTGGTTAGGGTTAGGAGCTTTCAGTTACCGGGTGTCAAGCATCTGTTGTGTGTCTAATGCCAATGCCAGGTGGGGAGACTCCTGAGTTACCCTGGGGATCCCCAAAGGAGAGCAGGAGGCCTGGCCTGGGTAGCTGGGGTGGCTCTCAAGGGCTCGGGGCCCCTGCATGCAGCACTCCCCTCAGCTCTCTGGGTCACTGATTCCTAGCCCGAGGGACGGGGATCTCAGGCACCACTTAGCTCCACAGCTCTGTAAGAGATGATGTGGGTTGCTGATTTTGTAAAGAGAGGAGATGCAGAAGGGAGAGACAGCATCAATTTCACAGAAATTCTCACATCATGACTTTATCTGCTTATCTCTGTTCTATTCCCACTACCCTGTGAGGAGGCCCACCTTTCCTGAGCAATAGCGAGGAGCAGGGAAAATAACCTAAACTGTTATCCAGATTCTCCCAGGCTAGGATCCTCCAGGCAGGGACTCCACCGAGCAGAGGAAGAGATAATGTGGAGATGTCACTACACAATTACTGACCAAGGTTTGAAGAAAGAACAATAGATTGATCTTACTTCCAGTTTGTTTGAACAACTAAGTTCAACATTAGCCCATTTCGATATAATGAAGTTTCTGTCCCTTATGACTTCATCCTCCTGTCCTCGGTACAGATGCCTTTTGTGTTCTCCTAAGAACATCCCTAAGATAACTTGACCTGGAGTGACTCCACCTTATTTGCTGTTGTCTTTAATTGTATAAGGCCGATGAGGCTACAGTAGACAAGCCAAGCGCAGTGTCGGCCTTCACCGAATTCCATTTGGTTGTGTTCTCCTCCCACCTGGACTTGATTCATTCCCCTCTGTGACTGTAAAGCTGAATTGAAGTTTGATTGGCTTGGGGGGCCCTGGAGACTAGTAAAGCACACTGCCAGGTGTGTCTGCGAGGCCAGCCCCCATACTGCCCTCTCTGGCATGGTTCCCGCTCTGCCACCGTGACCGAAGCAGTTGTGCGTGGCTGTGCTCTTATACCATGATGCTCCTGCCTAGGACCCAGCCCATCCTCGAGAGAATCCCCTAAAACCAGGAGCCGAAGTAAACCTCTCGTCTTTCTCTCTTCTATTTTTTGTTTTCCTTTCAGTACTGGGAATTGAACCCATGTCCTTTGCACCGAGCTATGTCACCAGCTCTTTTAATTTGTTTTTTAAATTTTGAGAAAGGGTCTTGGTGAGTCACTAAGTTGCCCAAACTAGGCTCAGACCTTTGATCCTCCTTCCTTGGCCTCCAAGGGTGCTGAGATTACAGGTGTGCACCCCCACCCTGGCTTAGCCCTTCTCTTTAAGTGTTGGTGTAGGGTAATTTGTCCCAGCATGGGGAAAGCCACCTAAGAATACCTTACCTCTCTCCCCCAGTCTCTCACTTCCCACACATCTGTTTTTCTTTTTGTCTTTTTATAAGTTCGTATGACTGAACTAATTTATTTCCCTAACAATCTTAATGCTCTTTCTGTCTTCTATAAAGTCGGTTCTTTCCACTCATCAGTGTGCAGTCTGCCTCATCACAAGTCTTCCTCCGCCCTTGCATATCACAGCTGCTACAGAGATGTTTGCTGTGTAGTGCAGGACAGACAGACGCATGTACACACAGTCTGTGAAGAGGGATTGGAGGGCACCATGTGGACTGGGCCTAGGGTTGGATGCTTGACCTTCCTTGCCTTGTTTGACCCTCATGCCATCTTTTGAGGTGATACAGATTGTTTTTTAAGGTTTATAAATGATGCAACATTCTCCAAAATTCAAAAAAAAATCTTTTAAAAGTTAAAAGAAATTATCTGTATCATTCCATACATTCATTCAGTTTTGCAGGAAAAATGATGTTATTTTATAATTCACTTTAGGT